TGCAATTTGCACAAAAACTAATTTGTGATTTTAGAAACCATCTGGGACTTATTACCTGTCGTTATATAAGGTAACATTAATATCACTGATGACAGTTAAAGCTTAGGTGGATTTTTATATCAGAATCTCATCTTTGTGAAAGGTGTGCAGATAGAGGATATTATTGAATATAAGCCCTCAATGTTTAAAATATATAAAAATTTTATTTCAACTAAATCTACCTGCGTTACAGCACGGCGGGAGACGGCGAAGGGGGCCGGGGAAGGGGGGCCGGGGAAGGGGGAGCCGGGGGGCCGCAGCGTAGCGTGACGTGGTGTGCGCGCCGGTCGCGAGGGGTGCGCGGGGTGTGGGCGCGAGCGCGCCGCGAAGCTAAGCAAATTTAATGTTTGAAAGAGAAATAATGTCAATGGATTTTATTTCGTTTTTAAAAAGGTAATAATGTCAATTGACTTTATTTCACACCAGGGTGGGAAATAAAGTCAATTGACCTTATTTCCGTTGATCTTATTATCTGTCACCGCCTGAATTTCAGATTGATGGAGAGTTTTTTCTCTTTACACTTTTGAATAGCTTTCGGATAGCTTGAAAATCGCTGCAAACTATACTGGATATTTTCCTCTTGTGAGATAACAGATGACATTTCATGAAAATTTTGTTGCTGGACATGTTTTACTGGAGATGTTAAACGCACGTACCAATAGAGATATTTGCCTAATTTAAAAACATATGTGTTCATATGTATGTATGGTTCTTTAAATGTTGGTACTTTTTCGGCTGATTTAGTCCTTTTTTTGGCCATTTGGTACAAAATTCAAAAACCCATTTATCATCCCTGATATACCACCATTAAATGCAGCTGCTTATGTTGCACAGCGCCACTTGCGGCCGGATAAAATAGGGTAAGCAATTTTTAGCGAAAGGTAGGACAGAACTGCAACTTTTGGACTTTTTGATTTCGAAAAGAACTTCATCAGCAAGAAACGCGATGTTTTAGCGTCCTTTCCATATTGTTTTCCATAATTTTCGTTTTTCTTTGATAAATAATTGCAAAATATACGCGTTTTTTCTTTTGAGAGTTCCATGGAACTTTCGCAAATATCATCAGCACCAATGTTTTTTGCAACATGGTTGACAACCGAAGAAAGCTTTTCTTTTTACGAACATCCAAACAGCCAAACTTCAAACAACTCCCCTTTTGTAATAGCATGATAACCTAGAAAGAACAGTTTTTCTTGCAAACGGCTTAAGTAAAATAAAATCTACTCAATACATCTTAATTAATCCATTTCGTTGTCCCTTTTCTTTGCCGAAGGTTAACAAAATTGTAAAAGCTTACATGAAATCATAAATGGAAAAAAATTAGAAAATTTTTGAGGTTATGCAAATAAGTCAGTGTTTTGGCAAATGATAAAGTCACTTTTTTTAAATAGAATATAGGCACTCACTTATATTTTTGTCTTCCATTAAAAATGTTCCTATAATTATTCGAATTTTATAATAAATGCACTTGAATTTAAAGAAACAAACCGGTTCTAAAACAGCGTCTCAATAACGTTTTGAAAGTATACGTTTGTTGATTGCCGTTTAACGGTGTTCTTTATTTTACAAAAACAAAGTGAAGCTTTTGTTATTTTGGACTATTCCCTATCGAACGGCAACAAAAAATTATGTAAAACTGCGTTTACGAAATCGGACTTTCGCACAGCTAAATGAATCATTTGAGCTAATGTACATGGATGCGGAGTCCCCAAGGATCTTTTCACCGCAGCGTCGTTATCTATGCATACCAAATGTCCAAGCCACTGCAATCGTTGTTATTTTAAGCGCTTAAGTATGTCCAAGTCGTTAATAAGCTCGTACAGTTCGTCATCCCCTCTCCTTCGGTACTTGTCGCCCACGCAAACAGGGCCTTAGGTCTTGCGTAGAATAGTTCTATCGAAAGCACCCAAAGCCTTCTCGTGTTTGTTAGAAATCGTTGCTTCGGAATATAAAAGGACGGGCGTAATGAGAGATTTGTAAAGCGTAATCGAGAGAGGGCTCAGATTTTTAAAGTAGCACCTGTTGGCAAGAGTTATTCATCGCTTTATCTCCAAACTGACATTATTGGTGGTGTTTATGATGGATACTAGGTAGAAAATTCATTCACTACTTCAAAATTATGACATGTGTCCCAACACTCGAAGCCTTTTTATGTTTTGCCAGGAGGTATTTTGTCTTGTCTTCCTTGACCGCTAGACTAACCTCTTTAGCTTTTTTGTCTAAGCAGCAAAATGCTGCGCTGACATCTCTGGGATCCAGGCCAACGATATCGATATCATCGATATCACACTTGTGACGGTGTCCAGCACTAGGTCAAAAAAGTCGCACGAGAGTGAATCGCCTAATCTAAAACGTCGATTGGTCTCAAACGGCGCGGAGAGGCTGGAGCTAAAAGTTGTGCTTAACGTCACTCTACGTAGCCGTATTATTTTGTGTTTTTCTCTACAGTTTCTCGAATCGGAAGTCTTGCCGCATTTCTTGAGGCGGGTGCGGACCTTGGCTGCAACAAGGTAGTGATCCGAGTCGATGTTGGCTCCTCGAATAGAACACAATTCAAAAATGCTCGAAGCGTATCTTCCTCCTATAACAACATGATCTATTTGGTTCTTCATTCTGTGATCAGGGCCACCGAATTGGCTTTGTGGATGTTTCGAAGCTGGTGTCCGGTAATCCTAACTATCATGTTCATGCTCTCTTCGTTTAATTATTTTTTTTAATTTAATTAGGATTTTTAGTAATAACACGACTCCAGCGCCAACTGACGGGTCAAACTTTGAACTTAATCTATCCAGAGACCTACTTAAGCACACAAAAAAAATTCGTTAAAATCGATTCACTCACAAACACACATAGAGAAGAAATTTATATTCATACAAAGATAGGTAATAGTTTCAGTATGGTTGGAAGACGCCGCGCCCCATTTTTTAACATTCCAAATTTTTTCTGAGAGTATGCGATTGATTTCGTATATCTCTATACTACATACTTATATATTCGAGTATTCAACCATGAACACTTCTAGAGGTGTCCAGTATGAAAAGTTCAGTGTATTTGAGTAGAGTAGAGTACATGACTACAATGAACACATCCAGGGATATGCAGTATGAAAAACACGATTTGTATAGGAGGTGCTACGCCCTATTTTCCAATAACATGAGTTCTTTTATTAGTATGCGATTAATTTCGTATGGGAGGTGCCATGCCCCCTTTTCAAATAACATCCATTTTTCCATAAGTATGCGATTGATTTCATATATATCCCTACCAAGTTCCAGTACTCTCCATGAACACTTCCAGAGATATGCGGCATGAAATATTCGGTTTGTGTGGGAGGTGCCGCGCCCCTCTTTTTCCAATATTCTAAATTTTTTCCAAGAGTATGCGATTGATTTCATATACCTCAATACCAAGTTTCACTACTCTAACATGGGCACTTTCAGAGATATCCAATAAGAAAAATTCGGTTTGTACGGAAGGTGCCACGCCCCTGCACTTAGCGGTATAAAATATACTTTACCACCTATGTATTTTCATACCTACCAAATATACACAAAAAAAATTTATACAAATCGGTCAAGCCGTTTCGGAGGAGTTGACATGAGATTTTTTTTCGAATGGTGGTAACCTAATGCCAATTTTTTTCTGTTTTAAATTTTGAGTAAATTTCGAAGTGGAATAGCATTATTGCGGCTTAATTCAATTAAACTCGTTTTGATACTGCAATAAATTTTTATATTTAAAGATTTTTTCGAATCCTGGCAACCCTATCCAACACTTTTCTATTTTAGATTTTTCTACAAATTCTCATTGAAGTATAACTATTGCGGCTTATTTAAATTAAAATTATTGTGCTGATGTTTCAGATATCTGGCATCACCATTTTTTGAAGTTTTTTTCTACAAACCTTCTGCAGACAGAAGGAAACAAAATGGCAGAAAAACGAACCAAATCGGTTGAGCCCTTTTTGATTTATGCGATAGCACAGGAATAGCAAATAGTTTTTATTTAAAAAAAATTTATTTCGAATGGTGCAAATCCTATACAATTTTTTCTCTATATTAAATTTTTCTACACATTCTCAGTGAAGTATCAGTATTGCGCGATATTTAAATTAAAATTATTTTTCTGATGTTTCAGATATCTTGCAACAACATTTTCCCAATTTGTTCTTCACAAAAGACAGAATACATCTAAAAACTAAATGAAAATTAAATCAAACTAAATTAAATTATGGAACCCAAAACTATCTTTCTTCTAACATCCATTATATCTAAAAATTAAAAAGAAATTAAACTAGAATTAAAAAAAAAATTAATTAGAGTTCTAAAAATTTAATGAAATTTAAAATATATCTTTCTTTTCAAAACAATTGGGTGGTTCACAAGGTGTCGACGTATTGTCGTATTGTTGTATGTTGTAAAGTTTTTAACGGCTAAATAAATCTTTAGAGGACTTGAAATCACCATCAACTATTTTTTAATTGTGTGAAATTTCATAATAAAACTTTTATGTTAGCTTGCGAATTCCTTAAATATAGTTTTAGCCGTTTAAAGTTTATGACATACAACAGTTCGACAGTATACAACACCTTGTGAACTCCCTAAATAAAGTGTATAAATTAAAAGCAAATCAAAGAGGTAAAGAAAAAAATTAAGAATCAGAATGAAAATGACACAAAAAATATCTTTCTTTTAAAATAATAGTATATGTATCTACTACCTTGCTGTTGTATCTATATATGTGACCTGGTCTACGGAAAGGGGGCTTAGGTGTCAAAAAATCAATTTTCACTTTTTGGTTGATTCGGATGGAAGATGAGATGCTTTTTCACGTGGTGAAAAGCAGAAAATCCTAACTTGCTTAGAAGTGTACTAAAAATGTAGAGAAAGAAGAGTAAAAATACGACAAAATATAATTTATTGGTAATGAACAAAATACATTGAATTATAAGCTATAAAGACATGATTATACACTAGAAAAACGTATTATGGGCCAAAAATAATAATGCTGAGTAGTTTATGTATTTTTCTTTGTTGTCGTTTTCCTTGAGATCTTTTTACGTGTTGATCCTGAGGAAGATGGACCTGGTTCCTCGTCTGGTTTGAGAACATCTTCACTAGTTTTTGCCTTCCGTTTCTTCGATGGCAAATCTTTCGGCAATGGAGCCACAATATCTACTTTAGATATATCCGAAACTAAGCTGCGAAGATTGTGATAGATGTACCACTGACGTTCCAAAGATAAACCGGCTGGTTGTATAACTTTCGGCATTTCAGGATCGATAGGTTTTAACAGAAGCTTAAAGGACTGCACTTCTTCACTGTCTGCGAATTTCTTTGTTTTTACACAATCTGTAGAGATTATGAAATGATGGAATTGCGTTATTCCAACAAGTGACTTGTACAGTGGTTTAAAATAGCTGTCCCATTCATACCAGACGACTTTTTCAGCCGATACAGCTTTATTATAACCCCCAGGTGATGATGCCTCGACACACTGCAGTAAATCTGCATACGTGTCGATGTTACTGACGGCATACTTACTTTTGAAAATACCGAAGTAACGATCAGGCGCGAACTTAGTGTGCCCGGTAAGTAGAAAATTGAATAAAATAGTTTTGTTAAGACCCCGAGCCAAACACCATTGCAGATATGATAGTACAGTGTTATTCTTATTCTGCCCAACACAATTGTCACAGAAAAGAACGAGTGTTTCAATGTCTTTATAGTAGGTTTGCAGGTGATAATGCAGGATGCTCACAACACAGTTAGGTCCTTTACCAACGTCATCTTTTTCGTCTATCATGTAATTGTACTGTAAAAAAAAAAATATAAGTAAGATCCTGTAAAGGCGAGCAATTTGAGTTCCTATGATTCAGTTTGAAATTCTAACCTGAACTTTTTGTTTTTGGTCTGTAATTCCGAAGACTCCGCACTTCTTGGTTGCTTTGAAGTATGCTGTACCAGGTTGTTGTGGACTGACAGGGTAGTGAACGGTTTGGGCAAAATCAAATGACAGAACGACTGCTGTAGGGTCAGTATTTCTACACCAACTTTGATAATATTCTCGTTGATTTCGGGCTCGGTGGAGGTGATCAAGAAATTGATTAAGCTTCTGTGCGCGTTCAATGTCAGTAACACCTTTGGCTTGCGCAATCGATATTGTGTTTCCTATTAAAAGAAAAAATACTGAATTTAATCTCAACGTTTGATACAACTATAAAATGAGAAAATAATGAGCTACTTACCACGGCAGACATCGCAGAGATCATCCGCTGGTTTCATAACTGTAACATGGGGTATGTATTTGGACCATATCCGTCGAAAACTGCAATTACTCATCTTCAATTCGTCATCACTGAGTGAAGAAATGTATTTTCGATAAATTGAGGACTTCGTCTCGCTGGATGGCAGTTTCATTATCCGAAAATCCTTAAATTTTGGGAGTCGTCCGGGCAGTGGAAGAGCCATTAAATCGGCTATAGACTCGATGAATTTAACAGCTTTTTCGATGTCAGCCGGTTTAAATGACTTTGGATGTGTACTCGGTTTACTTGCCAGTCCGTGTTGGCGCACTGTTACACCCTGTGCGTGAAAATGACGTACTAAATTTTCGTAACGCTTCGTCGTACAGGCATGTACAAAAAGGAAAAACGAACGACAAACAGGTACTCTGTAGAAGGTAAATTGAATTCTATGCCTCATAACTTCTGTATCCTGTCTCTGTCCATATTTCTTCCGCCCAGCAAGCTTTGCGTATACACTTTCTAGCTTTTCGTTACTCATAATTCCAGCTTCGATGTGACTTAGTATCACTAAATCAAGTTCATTTTTCGACATCTCTAAACAATTGTTCCGCGTACTCTCGATCATTTCCCGTGGTATCAGTGTATGGCATTCATTATTACAACAATCTTTTGACAGAAATTTTGTTACCAGCTCCTCCTCCTTTACATCAACAACATACAGGTCCATCTTAACAAAAGTTTGTTCGGTATCATCTTCTGCCTGAGATACACATACTTCGTCTTCATCATCATCGCTCTCTTCATAGTTTTCATCATCGTTTTCATCATCCTTTTCATGGAAATATTGTCCGTATACGGCACTGAACTCCTCATCAACACTCATGTTTCATTTCATGCGAAATGCGAAGACGATAATCAACAGAAACAGTAAACGTCACTTCTTCAGTGTTACTTTTTTAAATGTTCCACACTAGCAACTTACACGATGAACTATAATAATATTCCGACCAACAACAACACTTACTGGACCAACAACAACACTTACTGGACGTCCGGCGCGGAGAACAATTAACGAGATAATGAGAGACTGACGAAACGAGTTGCTTACTTTTAACAGCTTTTTCACAGAAAACTAGTTTTCGCACGTAAGCTCCCTTTTCGCAGACCAGGTCACATATAGTGAGCTTATTGTATCAAGGATCGGAAAGCATGAAAAGTATTGGCTGGAAAATCGGTACCACCAACTCTTTCCAATTTTAAAGCGGTTTTGATTGCGCTAAAAAGATTTGCCTAATTTTTATTTCGAAAATGATGTCAACGTATGAAAAATATACGTTATCCCTGTTCCATATGTACATATGTATGTATGTACACTTATGTATATTAAACTATCCGTGAATTTGTATACCGCTTTATGTATAAACATATTTCAAACAGTCAGAACAATAGTTTGGCAGATTTACCTACAGCAGTGGCAATAACTTACTCTCATCTTTATGTGGCCTAATAAATCTGCTTGCGCACTATTTTACATATTGCAGTTGTACTACTTAAATAGACGGCTATAAATAAACTCTTATGTGTACAAACATACTGCATATAATTGTACATACTACGTACATGCATGTGTGTACATGAAGGTATAAATTTAACTGGCCATTTATTATATTTTTTATGTGAATTATTGCGTAGCGTAGCAGGCCTAGAATGGCAGGGTGACTAAAGGAGCCAACGGAAGAAGGTTCTCCTGGGCTATCGAGGTACACACCAAGCAGTAGCAGCAACGTATTTAATCGCTTAAACAAATAAGCAGCAATGGAAAATACAACAACAACGATAACAATAATAATTTCAACTAGGCAAAAGTGACTACGCCAGCAACAACCCAAAGAACAATAGCAACAACGCTAGCCAGCTAGCAGCTGCAACCACCGCGCTGGTGGCTATGGGCCTTAAGCCGCATCGAGTATGCTATTTCTGCTGGTTGCCACGTTGGTTGGTTGGTTGGTTGTTGCTGACAGCGCTTTGCACTTTTTGTTGTTGGTATCATCGTCTCTCAATGGCACTGTAAATTATGTTTTATTATGCAATAAAGTCACCCATAAAAATGTTGCAATAAATTAAATTAACTACTAAAATTGCAGATTTCATTCATTCATTCGTTTATTCCTTCGTTCTTTCCTTTGGACGCTTATTCGCCTTTGTGACAGTTGTTGTTGTAGTAGTAGTAGTTATTATTTTTGTTATTATTATTGTATTTTTGCAATATGTATTTATATGCACATATATACATACATATGTACATATGCATGTACTCCATTTGGTGGCCATTGCCTATCCATAATGGTGGCTTTGTCGCAGCTGCTATTCTGGTTGCCCGCGTGCATACATATACAAACATTAATTTGAAGCCAACCCTCGAAACCTGCACTCCAATAGTCGCACCAAAGTTATGCCTATTTATGTACGAATGTATGTATGTATTTATTGCATTTGCATTTAACCCCACCCTTTCTTCTCCACTTACATAAACGAATCCATTGCTATGCGTGGGGTCTTGCGCCGTTGTTTTTCGCTTGGCAGCTTGTTGGCCATAAATTTGGCAGGAAAAGTGATTCCGCTATAGCAAAAAAATTCTTTATTACCTCCGCTGGATTTTACTAATGACGCACTTTTCGCTCACTATTAGACATACATATGTAACTGCATACATATGTACATACATATATGTATACATACAGGCATATTTACTCCTCTATTTCTTTCATATCGAATAAATTAGTAAAAGTGTATTATTTTTTGGAACTTTCTGGATCCCAATGTCTATATTTTAACCTATAATTTAAATTCTTCAAAGCATTTTACATATATGTCTACTGTTTTGAGCATCAAGGAAATTATGTTCTACGCCGTGAGACGATTTTAATGGTACCCCAAAAAGCCATACAGCTTTTCCAAAATTGACTAATTTAAAAAAATAAAATGGTTTTAGACAGCAATCGAAAGGATAATATCGGGAACTATTATTATTCAAGTCAGAAGGAATTGAGGAGTTGAGTTTTGATTTCGATCGTCTTTCATTGCAGATTATAATTCCTGCATGCCTATTAATATTCTGACTTTTTTATTTTGAGCATTTTGATATATTTACTCGTATACGGAGTATTTCTGCCTTTTAACTTTTAAAGCAAAAGTCCTACTTGTTGGAATTTTTAAAACAGAGTGATGCAAAACTGCATACAAATATTTGGCACTCGTATTCCTTGGACTAAAACAATCAAAATTAAATGAGTTATGACCAGTTGAATATACAGTGAAACCCGCTTAAGTAACCAACATTTTTGTGCACTGTGAATTTTTTAATGTAATCTGAAGAAAATCCCTCTCTTAGGTACCTCCCCGCTTATTTACCCAACCCGCCTAAGTACCAGTACCTAAATTTTTCGTACCCCATTTACCATTTTACTTATAGTTTTCCCCTTTTAAGTGCTCTTTTAAGATTCCTTAAAATATTTACATATTCTGAAATTCAGTGGCAGCGCTACACTCCTTCGGCAAATAAATTCAAAAAAATCAACGGTAATTTTTAGCCAGTTGAAACTTGCACATTATTACACTAAAGTTTAATGGGCAATAAAAATGAGAAAAAGTTTGAAATCTTGGTGATTTTTTTTAAGTGTTCTTCAAAATCTTTAGCTTAGGTTTATATGCTATTTTTTATAAAGTTTTTCTTTATATGTGTATCTGTTTAAATAATGCTACGATCTTGGTTTTAAGCTACGTATTATTCATTAAATGTTCTTGTTTTAATCAAGGATTTACATATTTATGCAAGTTAACAAGAAGATGTAACTACATCAATAGTTATGTTCGCTTAAGTACCCGCAGCGGGGTACTTAAGCGGGTTCTTTTAAGTACCCAACCCGCCTAAGTACCTAAAAAAAGCTGACATTTTTCGTGAGGTACTTAAGCGGGTTTTATTGTAAATCGATTTGAACAAAAATCTTTATGTACACTCTAGGGCAGGGGATAGCGGGACTCGCGGGTACCGGGGGTACCGGGGGTACTGATTTAAAATTGACCGGAATGGGCGGTATCGGGAAGCAATGTAAAAATATGGCGGGCGGGATGGGACCAAATGCCTTTCCCAACACTCCCGATAAAACCGCAACCCCCGCAAATTCACAAAATCTTCCTTAAAAACGATGTTTGAAATATGAATTTTTTTAAAACAAAACAAAATAATCGGAAGATACCAGATCTTTCATTATTGTTTTTATTATTTAAAATTAATTTGAAAGACATGAACGTTTTTGTCAACTTTCGACCGGTTTGCAAACTACGCCACACACGTTGAAATCTCTACAGATCGTTTCGATTTCGGGACCCACGGGACCCGTGGTACAATTATGAAAAACGTCGGGATGGGCGGGTTCGGGACTTAAAAATCAAATTTCTGGATGGGCGGGATCGGGATTAAATATTTAGTCCCGTGCTCATCTCTAGTATAAACCTTCAATATGATGAGCAACCATCCATCACGATTTTAGTGCGGCAAACTGCAAATTTTTGATTCAACAAGTTAAAAAAACGCATTTTATTTTCCAGTTTAAAATTTATATTATTCAAATTAGTTTCTGGAAATGGCCTCCATTTACAACAACACAAGTTTCTATTCTTCGATATAAAAATAGCTTGACCAGCCACTGCATCGATGACACTGATGATAAACAAAACAACAGTTGGCAATTTAATCTTGGCTCACTCTCCTCTAAGCGGTACACCGACTATTGGTGATTTTGTGTACTTGTTGTTGTTGTTATCACTCGCGAACGTGTTTTATTGCAAACAGCGGATATTCAAATTTCCAATTGTAATAACTCAACACAATGAAATTATTAAAGATTTCCTGCAAAATTGACTGTGTTATACAATAAAATCGTATCCATGCTTTCAAAATTTATTTTAAGCTAGCATACTCGGCGAACTTCGTCCCGCCCAAATATTTTTTTTTTCATATTGAAAGATTTTGGCCCAAAATTTTGTCTAACAATTCACGATCACGACTTCCATTGGCACATTTATCTGCTAATATTACGGTTTCGTCGTTGTCAAAAGGCATATTTCCATTGCCTAACGAAAGTGTTATGTCCTTGAAGAGGTTCTTGAAATTCTCCAATCTGGCGTTCCACAGAACGGCTAATCGCACAACGAAATAAATTTGAAGAACTTTTTCTTCTTCACTCCCGGCGGAAGCAATGATCCGGTTCGATGGTGAATCTGCCCTTCAAACTGTTTAGTATAGTTGGTTGCAATTTCAAAATGGGTGAGTATCGCTGTTCTATAGAAATCCAATATTCGCAGACTTACTTCGGACGAAATAACTTAACTGACTTATCAAAGAGCACAAAGGTTCTGTTGGTTGATCTAATGGTGGTCAGTGACAACTCAATCGTTAGGTCTCCAAAACAATCTTCAATGCACAGCAGTATTGGAAAATCACCTCTATAGGGCCAATCGGAACACACGAGAGTTCGACATACTTGGTGGTAGTTACAGCACGTCGATGTAATCGGACATTCGCGGAACTTTTTTCTCACGATTTTTAGTAACAACTCGACTCCAGTGCCACCCCGCGGTTATTTTTTGCAATAGCATTGCCCTTACCGTTACCAATACATATCTCGGATATGAGCCAAATCTGGTTATAAATAAGATTTGTATTAATAACTCGATTCCAGCGACATCTGGCGGATCAAACTGTGACTCTCAACTATTCAGAGACCCATTCAAACACACACAAAAAATTTCGTTCAAATCAGTTCACTCACAAACACACCTAGAGAAGAATT